TTTTATTTTAAACTTTGTTAAAATCTTTATACATATAATAATCAAATCAACCTACTACAAAACAAACAAACAAATAACTTTCTTCTTCTTTCAATATTACTTCTCCTTTATTATCTACAACTCTGTATATTTTTAAGTTTATAGATTTTAAGAAAAATTTGGTACAAGTGATTGTTAAAAAGAGTTTCTAAGTATTGTTTAATTGAAATTAATTAATATTAAAACTAAATTAAAATTAATTATTTTTTAATTGATTATATATTAATTAGCTACTAATATTGATTATTGTTAATTTTTTTAATTGATAGCAATTGCCTCTACAGCTAATAATCGATATCTAACCTATTTAAAAATTTTCTAATATAATTATTGAAAAATTATTATTTAATTCGTGATCCGTCTAAGAACCAGTAACAAAACATAGTAAAAAGTGAAGATATAAATTTTGCCTTTTTTGGAATCTGGCGTTTCTCCAAGGAAAACTTTTTTCTTTACTAAATAAACATCTTTTCAAGCTCTAAGTAAAGTTGTATAGGAGTATCTTGCGATCAAAATGGCGGTTAAAAACGTTAAAATCGGCCTAGTAGATCGCGAGATATAAGTACTTTAGTCTTTGCGACTATATGTTTTTTTCTTTATTTATAAAGAAGAAAACATATAGTCGCAAAAACTAAAGCACTTATATCTCACGATCTACTGGGCCGATTTTAACGTTTTAACCGCTATTTTGATCGCAAGACTCCTATACAACTTTACTTAGAGCTTGAAAAGATGTTTATTTAGTAAAGAAAAAAGTTTTTCTTGGGGAAACGCTAGATTCCAAAAAAGGCAAAATTTATATAGTAAACATATCTTCACTTTTTACTATGTTTTGTCACTGGTTCTTATGCGGATCACGAATTAAAGTTTAAAAAAATTTATCTAATTTTAGTTTTATAATATTATAAGTTTTTTTAAAAACTTTTAGCAAAGATTTTTTAATAATTAACCAAATTTAATTAATTTTTTTTATTTTAATTTTATGAAATATAGAATTAAAATAATAAAAATTTTACTAAATTTAGTTATATAGTTATTTAGAAAATTTTTAATAAAAGTTTAAAAATTTTTCTAATCTATTTAGTAGAATGCAATATAGCAGGCTTTATTTAATTAGATAATTGATACAAAATATTATATAATATATTTACATATCAGTATAATATTTTGCTATTACAAAAATATTTAATAATTATAACTATAAATTGGTAAAACTTGATACCAAAAAAATAAAAAAAATTCTTCAGATCTATAATCTTTTAAAATAATTCAGTAATTTTTAAAGTAATTTAGAAGTTAAATAAAAGATATATTTAAATATTTAAATTTAGTTTATAAATACAATAAATTAATAAACTTTGCAATTTAAGCTATTTTATTTATAAAAGTTTATTTAACTAATAAAAAAAAAGACTATATATAGGCTAATATACAATAATATAAAGTTAAAAGTTATATAGTTTGAGTTGTAAGAGAGTTAAAGTAAAATAGTATAATACTATAACTATATAATAATTATTTAATAAAATTAAAAAATAGTTTGATATTAGAGTAAGCATTAAAAGTTGTTTTTAATTATTATTATAGTCAGACCTTTCTAAATGCATATTCTCTAAATGCATAATCTCTCTAAATGTATAGCCTTGTTTGGTTCCAACTCATATGATACTTATAGATTTTTGTCTCCCTAAATGCAATATCTTTCTAAATGCAATATTTTTTGGCTGCCTGAGGCTATGCATTTAGAGAGGTCTGACGGTATTATTATTTTATTAGTATTCTAAAATAAGTTGTTTTTGATTATTATTATTATTACTATTATTTTACTATATAGTATTCTAGAATAGGTTTAAATATTTATTGTATTTTTTGATTTGTTGATTTATAAAATACAGTAGTATGTTAGGATTTTTAATAAAATTTTTTGTTTGTTAGCAATAAGGTTATAAATTTAGGCTTGAAGTTGTTGTTAGTCACAAATAAAAATATCTTTATATACTTAGTTTTTTTGATTTCAAGTTTAAATTTTTGATTATTTTCAATCAACCAATAAAATTTTTACAATATCACAGGATGATCTACAAATATTGGCCAATCACAATGAAAGCCCGCTATTTGTAGAGTGCGTATGTATTTTGTCGATCATGTGCTGATCTAGAAGTTTGATTAGCTGGTACATCACACGCAGAATTTTTCGAAAGGATATCTAAAGTGAAGGCAACTCATGTTCAATAATTTTTTCGATTAACTTTAGGGTTAGAAGCATTCTATATTAGAGTTAGGTAAGGTATTTGGCAATTATATATAAGCAAAATTGCCTTCCCGACATTTTTGATTAACCTACCCGGGGTAGGTTTAGACTGCCGTTTTTTGTATTTTTCAGGTTTTTTGTTTTTATTTCTTGCTTTGCTTCACCGGAGATCATCAAAATTCTATAATTTGATTGGCTGTTTATCACATGATTTGCCTCCGCTTTAGACGTCCTCTTTTTTCGGGTATTTGACCTCGGGAATTCCAAATTTGGGTTTACCGGCCGAATTCTGGAGATCCGTCAGATTAGTTATACGGGCCGACCCGCACCTTTGTGGGCCGGCCCGGCCGATGTATAGTTAAATTTTCTTTAGCCAAATTAAATGTGGTTATGTGTGATTTTGTTGTTATTTGTTTATTTTCGATAAACTTTTGATGCTGGGGGTTTTTTAATTTGAGTGACGGGATATGAAAACCTGTAAATCACTTCATCCATTATCATCGCTACCTCTAATTCTTATAGGGGTAGATATCACTGCAATGACAATGAGTGAAATGATTTACAGGTCTTCATATCCGTCACTCATTTATATTCGGTGCGGGAAACATTTTATTTTATCTTTTCAAGCGTGAACGTGAACGATAATTTCCATAGACTCATGGAAATCAGGAGATTGAATAGTAAACATTAGAAATCCGTTTCCCTAATTATTCTAGATTCCTGATTTCACACGGAAATATGAATGAAAAACGACTATAATATAAACAAATGTTGAAAATCACGATATGGGACATATTAAATCATATGTCCCATATCGTGATTTTCATGGCAAAAGACCCTTTTCTTTCGCGTCATCGTTTGTTATTATGCGATGTTTTTTTTTTTTTTTTATTGATATTAATATTAACCAATAATTTATTTAATCAATTAATTATTATTTTTTTTATTCGATTCGAGATCTTTATCAATGCAATTTTTTTTTTCATTTAATATAAAAATATAAATTGAACCAGAACTAGTCAAGGTCGGCCCATCGACCTGTATCACTATGTCAGATTCATCGGATTCGTCAATTTCGGCGAATAGAAAGAAAAGAAGGAATATAATAATCATAACAAGTGTAGAACTCATAAATTAATTAGGTTCATATATTGGGGTCTTTGCCTTGAAAATCACCTTCCGACATTTCCGATCGGGCTAATTCGGATGAAATCAAACCCGTATATTAGTTCATGTTTATATGTAAATTCCCCTTTGTATTTATTGATTCAATAGTTTATCGAATAAACTATTGAATCAATAAAGGCAAAGGAGATTTACATATAAACATGAACTAATACACGGGTTTGATTTCATCCGAATTAGCCCGATCGGAAATGTCGGAAGGTGATTTTCAAGGCAAAGCCCCATATGAGTGTCGCAAAGGAAAATCCATAATTTTTATTAGATGAAAAATCCAAGCTTTTCCCTCTACGATACTTATGTGAATAAAATAAAGAAAAAATAGTAAATTTTCAATTATTTAATTTTAAATTTCATAATAAAATAATCACTGTACTCGGATATCTCCGAATTATCTACCAATGTCTTAATAACCCGTGATGTCATGTCTAAATCACACGTGGATTGTAATTTGGAGTTACTTAGAGAATTTCATATAAAGTCAAATTCATTGTAAAAATATTTATTCACCTGATCTACGTGCATTTCGATCGACTGTGTAATGTTGATATTCGAAGACCATAAATGAACTCCATAGATTACACGGTAACAAACATTGTAACACTTTTATCATTGTAAAAGTAATGGTTTTTCTATTTCCAGAGTGACCTGCCTTATAGAAATGGGCTGAACTTGGTGTACTTGGTGTCTGTAGCTAAATAATTTGCTGTTTTAAATAGAATCAAACCCTAAATCAAATCGAAATCAAATTAAGCGCCTTCGTGGAACTCAAACTCTCTTATATAATATATGTGGGTATACCAAAAATTATAGAAACAATTTGCCTCATTGTTTCGATGTTATGGGAATGTTTCTCGCATGGTAACAGAAATTAACTCTAAAAAATTTAATACATTTTTATTAAAGTACTTAATGATCCAATTTCTCCAATATTCTATAGCGATAGTTGTTAACAATAATAATAATACTGTAGAATTCACTATTGTATTGATAATTCTTTAAATTTTATTATTACTATTTATTCTCTTTTATATTTATTTATTTATTTAATTAATTAATCAATCTAATGTCTATAAATTATAATGATGATATATTACTTACAAATAATGACGACAATCATATATACGAAGAAATTCCTGATCTTGATTCTAAGCGACGCCGTGCACTTCTCGAAATAGATCATGCAAACTTTCAATGGTTTCATATCAGGGCTTGTGTAGTATCTGGTGTTGGTTTCTTTACGGATGCATATGACTTGTTTGTCATAAATTTAGTTTCTACTATGTTAGGTTATAGTTACTTTGACAAAAGTGGTGTCCTTCCAGCAACTGTCGATATGGGATTAAAAATGTCTGCTGCATGTGGGACTCTAATGGGTCAAGTATTCTTTGGTTGGTCCGCAGATCGGTATGGGCGTAAAAAAGTAAATACGAGTTTTCTATTACAGTTTCATTTATTCACGATCCTGAATAATAATACTAATAGAGGTTATATTGAAAACCTGTTATGAATGAATGCGTTGTATTTAAAAATTTGAAAGAGACAACATATATTATTAAAATTAATAAATATGTAGTATGATATATTTAAAATTTGGATAACTGGATAAAAAAAAAAAAAAAAAATTATTGGAGAGGGGATTAAAGTATATTCAAGTTGTGGTTAAAGATCATATATATAAAATATGGATTTATTAACTTCAAAATAAAGTTTGTAAAAAACTTTAAAGAAAATATAACCTCTATTATTATTATTCAGTATCATGTTTAATCCATTACTTTGCTGATAATTTTTGTGATAGATTTATGGCTTAGAACTATCAATAATGGTCGTCGCGACGATCGGCTCTGCGATGGTTGCGGATTCATTTGCTACTACTATTTGGGGCTCACTAATGTTTTGGCGGTTCATATTAGGCATAGGAATTGGTGGTGATTACCCTTTGTCAGCTGGTAAATATTTTTTTGAAATTTAGGGCTTTAAGAGTGCAACTTGTCACTTAATCTATTGTAATCAATTATGAATATATATCTATAAATAATATTTTAAGTTATAACGAGCGAATTTGCAACGATAAAGAAACGAGGAGTAAGTAGAACCTTTGACACATCAATTTTGAAAATTTTAATCTTTATGATTTTCATAATTCTTTGTTACTATTCATACAGGCCATGATGGCAGCCGTTTTTGCTATGCAAGGCTTTGGGATTTTATCTGCAGCTATAATTTCAGTGGTTACTTTGACGATCTTCAGGGACAAGATAATCAATGATTTAAGGTACATTGATTGTGTATGGCGAATAGTATTAGGATTTGGAGTGGTTCCAGCAATTACAGCATTATATTTTCGACTGACAATCCCTGAAACACCACGTTATACTATGGATATATTGCAAGACATCGAACGAGCAGCTCATGACATCAATATCATATTGTTGAAGGATAAACGGGGTACGCGTACTCAAGATAAACCTACTTATGCTGTAGAAACTCCCCACGCCACATGGGAGGTAAGGCATTATAAAAAGTTCACGTATTATATATACTGCATATAATGCATATTTTCACAAATTTATTTAAATCAATATGTAATTGCGTATGCATAGGATTTTAAAAATTACTTTAGTCAATGGAAAAATGGTAAACTTTTAATAGGAACCTCGGTCTCGTGGTTCGTATTGGATGTTGCATTTTATGGTAAATAAATCAATAAAGTATAAGCTATCTTTAAACTGCTCTGCTTAATAAAATTTTTTAATTATATAGGCATAGGATTAAACAATGCGATCATTTTACAAGCCATCGGTTTTGCGACTAACCCGCATCCCTATGATGCACTATGGAATTTGTCCGTTGGCAATATTATCATTAATATGTTGGGCTCGGTTCCAGGATACTGGCTTACAGTTTTTCTAATAGATAAATGGGGACGTAAAAAGATCCAATTAATGGGATTTATCGTTCTTTCTATACTATTTTTAGTTTTGGGATTTACTTATGAGTATCTCTTGTCACAACCTATGGTGATATTTATTATATTATTCTCATTATGTCAAGTAAGACTGAATATTATTTATTGTTGGTCATTTAAGTTAAATTATATTCAACTAACATAATATCTTTTTAGTTATTTCTTAATTTTGGGCCAAACGTAACGACATTTGTTGTACCTGGTGAAATTTTTCCCACAAGATATCGTTCAACCGGACATGGGATATCAGCAGCATCAGGAAAATTTGGAGCAATCTTAGCACAAGCAGGGTTTGCTCAATCTAGAAATATAGGTGGTAAAGACAAGTTTGTCCCTCATTTAATTCAAATTTTTGCTTTGTTCATGGTTTTTGGAATTTTTTCGACATTATTGATACCTGAAACAAAAAATCTATCATTGGAAGAATTGTCAAACGAAACTCAAATTGGATTTGTTAGGCGACCGCATAAACGAAGACACGTGGTTTAAATCTTATCGTTATGTAAATTTTAGTTCATAAATTCCGAAAAAAATGAAATCTCTTTATACTTGCACGTTAGCTGCGTTTTATGCAAAAGTACTTGTTAATATTTTTTCCTCTTCAAATAATATTGTAATATTTTATAAGAAATAATATAGCACACAAATAATCATGTATTATAAAAACATAAATGCATCGATTTTTTTTTTTTTTTGAGGGTTTATAAAAAATAAAAAAAAAAGAATTAACTCTAGCATTAATTTTTGTCTTATCCCGCAATTATTAATCTTTTAAAAATTTGCAATTTGATGCTTACCAAGAAAATACCCAACATACAGTAATTATATAGTTCTATTATCCAAATCTCAGAATAGACCACCTAATTTTGGTGAAACAGTTAGAAACTCCTATGAAATTGGTAAGGTAAGATTTACTTTCTATATTACTATGTTATAATTGTTTTACATATGAAGTGAATTGTAAAGATTGTAGATAAATTTAGCCACAATGAAATTACTGTAAATTGCAATTTTACGACTAGTTAATCAATATGATTTCTAATGTAAATAATATAAGTTTAACAATATATAACAATATATATAGCAATAATCTAAAATTCTTTGTTCTAATGGATTTTATTTTAACCCATACACTCGAGTCTTAAGTTGCAATCTATTACGATCAACCGTTTTTGTTAGCCAAAAAGTTGAGAAAATTTCTGTTTTCAATCGAACTTAATACATTCCATAAATGCACGCACTATATATACCTTCTCTAAGTGCACTAATATTCAGTCCCAAGCACATAGAACTCTTAATAAATGCCTTCCATAAATGCGCACACTCTCTAAATGTACATTTTTGAAAATTTTGCCTATGTCCAAAGGGGATGCACTTATGGAGGGTTGGCTGTAAACGAAATTTCATGTATAAATAATCGGTTTAACCAAAACTGGGAAAACTGGGATAAGGAGAGGCTCTGTAATTATAAGTAACAAATAATTTCATCAATGAAATAATTATTTGGACGCCTTTAACGCTCACCGGAGGTGAAATTTACTTAGGTATGTGAGTACAGTACTACGCGTTTTGGAGTACTAACGCTAATCGAAAAACAACCTCTAACCGCATGATAATCACTTGACATTCTGCAAAAGTAGATACCGATACGTGCATATGTACGTAATCTAGCGTTAGAACAACGCAAAATCTATAACGATAACGATATTGTTTAATAAAAAACATCAGTCTACCAAATTTGGTAACGTCCGACAAATGAGTGTTACGATTGGTGTGAATTTAGTAAATTCTCTAGCACTAGTCATCCCTCTCACAGTAAAGTAATTTAATGGCAACATAAAGGTATATTGTATATTAAATTACGCATACAATGCTAAGTTTCACGAAGAACAAGCATTATCGTTGTTTAAATACCATTAAATAATTATATTTGTCCCTTGTCTCTAAAGGCCGAAAATGGGGAATCAATTCTTAGCATACTACGTATGGTGCATTTATACCACTATTTTTTTTTAATACGTAAACAAATACGTTTAAACAAATATGCTTATTGACGTTTCTTATTTCATTTCAAGTTAATTATAATTTCTTATTGTAATCCGATGCAAATTATCATTAAAAACTAAATAACTAGGCATTTCTCAACAATGAATCTTGGACGTTAATCTTATTCTATGATATATAGTATGCATGCATATTATCCAATCTTAATTAGGTGTATGTGTGTGATATGGAATTAAAAACGTTTCGGGAAAGGGAACTTTTTAATTGTTTTTTTTTCAAAGAATTGAAGAAAAAGGTTGCGCTTTTGTTATTAAAAATTTATCTAGAAAGAAATTTATTTGCGATGCACATAATATACCTCGTTACCAAATAAGGCAAAGAAAGAGTTCAAGAGATTTGTGGTGCTTGCGTTGTTTTAAGTTAAAATAAGTAAACATATTTTATTTTATTAAATTCACTCAATTTATTCTTTCATATATCTTAACATTACCAGTTTTCTTGTTTCAGTTCTATACTTGGAAATTTAATATATAATATATATAATAAACATAAGTTAATATAACAATAGGTTTCAAGAAACGCATGACCTAAATTTCCAATTATGCATTGTTAAGAGAAATATATATATAAAGACAATAACTGTGCACGATTAATTCCCAATATTTTTTTTCATTTTTTATTTCTTAATTTTTATTTTTTTCTTTCGTTCTCTAACTATTATATCACAATGAATAATAGTATTATTGCTGTAGACATTATTCCGGATAATGATGGGAAAGTAGTAATGTACGGTGAACCAAATAAAGATAAAACTCACTTAGTTTCTGGCAAACTTCGTGTAATACTCTCAAAACCATTAAAAGTGAAATTTATATCCGTCAAATTAAAAGGAAAATCAGAGTATTCAGATTGGGAAAATCAATATTCTTGCATAAATGTAATTAAACTTGAACAAATACTATACGAAAAGGACGTTTTACCAAGAGGTGTAACAGATCTTGACTTTGAACTTAAAATGCCTGGGAATATGCCTCAAAGTTATGTTACTAGTTTTGGTTTGATTAGATACAAGCTGATAGCTGAAGTTCAACCTTCTTCGATGCTTGCAAAATGTGAAAGAGTCGAACGAGGTATTCATATTTATAGACATTATTTACCATGTAGAAGAGAACTCCTACCCGCACCACCTACAAAAGTTTATAGAGGTCAAAGAAGGAATATATTAAAATACGAGCTAGATATTCCTAATGTCATAGGCGTTAACGAGAGAAGTTTATTGATTAGAGTTAGACTATTGCCGTTTAGCGATCAGGGTTATGTCAAGAAAATTATTTTTGATCTAGTTCAATCTGAAAAGTATAGGTAATAATCATAATTTTAATTGTTAATTAATCTTATAAATTACTTTTTTTTTTTTTTTAACCTTATTTATTTTATAGAGTTCAGCCAAGTCAACAAGATATAACATATTATGATATGGATAGTACTCAATTTGTTGGCAATGTTCAATTAAGCGGTTCTACTCCAACAAAACGTAAACGATCTAGTCAAATAAAACCAACGGCTCTTTCTATCTCCCGAGACGATGATACTTGGAATAACCCATTAACCTATAATCTTCCCTTCGTTCAATATTCTCGTACCGCTACATCTGGCACAGCTCGTGCGTCTAAGATAAAAGCAACTATTGATTCTCCATTAATCCGTGTTAGGCATAAACTTAGACTTTCAATGATTTTTAAAGACGAAACTGAGAAGGATTTAGAATTAGGATTTCCTATCACTATCACAACCATTCCAGAAGATGATCATTCTTCAATTTTTGGTATGCTTTGCGATAATGGTCTGCCTTCTTACGATGATTGTATAGAAGATTCTCCTACAATGGGCTATGAAGAATCCGAGGATTCTAGACCAATTACTCCTTTAGGTGAATTAAATAATTTGGATAACAACTTGAGATATCATTCCAGGAATAATTCTAGAAGTAATTCAAGGAATCATTCTAGAAGTAATTCAAGGAACCATTCTAGAAGTAATTCAAGGAATCATTCTAGAAGTAATTCGAGGGATAATTCTAGAAGTAATTCTAGAGATCATTCTAGAAGTAATACTATGTCAAATCTCGATGATGCAAACAATGGATATAATGATGATAATTCATCGAACGGAGGAAATGGTGCTTCAAATAGTTCAATATTATCAGATAAACGTCAACCAACCTTAAAACATAAAAAGAGTCAACGCTCTTTGGTAGACCGTCTTTTGCACAGAAACGAAAATAATTCAAAAACAACTTCTCCACCACTTCCAAGCATTCCTACCGCTTATACTACACCGACATCACATCCAAATTATAATAATATAAATGGTTCTTCTACAGATCATAATCGAGCATTACCAATAACTTCTCATGACCCCCCTTCTTATTCACCAATGCGACCTCCTAATACTAATATCAATTATCTATCCGCAAGGAGTGGAGGCGCAAGTAGATATTTAAATATGCCTGATGAAGATGATTACGAGACAAATATGCATTTAGAGATTCATAGCGCTCCTAGCAGCCCTAAACTTAGTGGAATTCCAATGCCATTAGGCGACGATGTTTCAAATGAAACATCTTATAACAATGATGAAGCCTTTAGTTTAGAGAACAACAGTAATTTGTTGCCACCACAAAAGATGAGAAGAAAGTCGCACAGAAGATCCGCAAGTTTTGATTTGAGTATAAAAAAACCTGAACTTATAAATTCTAGATTTCTTAATAATAATAAACTGAGGACTAGCGGAGATAAAAATGATTTATTAGGGCTTGGCGTTAGTGGAATAAATATTAATGTTCAAATGCCAAGTCCTACCTTTGAAAATATAAACAATAGAACTTAAGCAAAAATAAAGAATACTAAATTTATATTCAGTACATATATAACATATAATAATTTAATAATAAATGATTTCTCTTTTGTTTAAATAATTGTTTCATACTAGCATTTTAGTTGCATTTTATAATAAAGATTTTTTTTTATTTAGAGTATTTGAGAAACTTTAACATTGATAATAGGTTTATAAGTTTGTTTAATCTAATAGGTTTTGACTATTTTATTAAACTTAAAAAAATATTATGTTTATTCAGAACTTCTTAAGTGCACACTCTTTGTAAATTTTTTCTGAATGCACGATATATCTTAATCCCAAATTATAAGAATTCGATATATTTTGCTCTCTACAAATACACACCCTTTTTAAGTGCATCTTTTGCTTTTTTTATGATGGTTCCAAGGGGTGTACTTCGGGTGTTTGATTATATAAATAAAACTATTGAATTAATGTTAGTCATCAATTTTTAAATCTTATATTTAACAAGGAAAATACTTTATATTCAAAATAATACTTTATATCATTGCCACTCAAGTAATTACATTAAAGAAAGCCTAAAACAAGTTCTGCTATTCTGCTACATTCTAATCTCCACACTCTTTCAA